CATCGCTGCCTTCGAGTTATCAAGCATGCAACATCTTCATTAAAAGAACTTGCGTTCACACTTACAGGTTCCAATAAGGAAGCGATGAGTCGGCGACATGGCGCAGACGGTATAGAATCCGGAAACGAAAGTGTTGTTCTTGGCACATTGGGCGGATTATCCTATAAGCGGCTTCCATTCCATCTATGATTTTCCGTTTTTTATGGTTTAGATATCCAAATGGTGAGAACGAAAGGCATCGCCATGAAAAGGCTCACCTTTGGCCATTTTCCTACAAGCATAGTGTACAGAACGATTCCAAGAGCGTACCAGTCCGCTGCGTACGAGTCATAGGGTTTGTAAACCGTTATTTGCGGAGCAGAATATGGTCTCGTGCCACAAAAAGACCGTGACCTGGCAGTACGTGAGCATATGTTACTAGTAAGAGGTGCATTTCAAGAATTGAATTATAGCCTATTGTACTTTGAACAGTTCTCGGCTTGGTTCATTTTCCAAGTTCATATACAGGGGTGCTTGAAAATCTTACGCAAAATGTTTCGTAGTTAACTTAGTATTTGGGTGGGGGGGGGGGACACATCCACACCAATTTGATCCTGCGTCATGTCCTTGTTAAAATTATTTGACCACATTTTTTTCGATATACCTCTCTCGACGAGCGATAAATCGGGCGAATCCGAAGTCGGCCAGTTTAGCGTCGCCATTTGCGTCAATGAGTATATTCTCGAGTTTAATGTCTCTGAACAGATTGGCGAAGATATGCCTTACTGGAAAATGAATGACTTTATTACCGATGGACAATATTCCTTTCGTGCAGGTAGTGGACAGCTTCCATAAGTTGACGAAACATGCGCACTCCTTGTGGAACCTCTGAATGGATAGAGTTTCTGCTCACGATTACTAAAGATAAGTGTTACAGGTTCCATGACACGTAATCGACTGGAATCTCACCTCTGCATAAATGATGACTCCGTGTAGAGTGGTGAGATCTGTCTAATGATGCTTAAGGAGCTCACGAAGAATCTTGATGTACTGAGTAGGGACCGCCCTGGTTGCCCAAGGCTTCGATGACCGCTTCTGTCTCCACAGAGTCGAAGGCCTTCTTCAAGTCGATGAACGTGAGACAAAGCGGCATCTTGTACTCTCGTGAAACTTCAATGAGTCTTGTAACCGTGTGGATATGGTCGATCGTGCTGAACCCTCTTCGAAACCCTGCTTGCTCGCATGGCTGTCCTTCATCTAGTATTCTGCCGATCCTGTTAAGGATGACTCGAGTGAATAGCTTGTAGATTACAGACAGCAGGCAGATTGGGCGATAGTTGCCAATGTCGTCCAAGTCTCCCTTCTTGTACAGCAACACGGTCCTGCTGGTTTTCCACGGAGTGGGTACCTTGCATTCCGACAGGTAGCGCGTGAAGAGTCGAGCCAGAGTTTTGATGATGACTGGCGGCGCATTCTTCAGATGTTCCGGTTTGACCCTGTCGAGACCGGGTGCTGTACGATTCTTCACCGACTTGATGGCGTGTCGGACTTCGGAAGAGAGAACTGAGGGGACGACGTATCCATCCTGTTGCAGTTGATAAGTGGGCAGATGGACATGGCTATCGAAGAGATCCGAGTAGAAGTCGTGGATGACTTTCTCCATTGCCCTTCGGGATGCAGTAACTGTTCCATCCGGACGTCGGAGGCAGGTCATCTTGGTCTTGTAGCTGGCAAAGCTTCGGCGGGCATTGCGGATGCTCCTCCCAGCCTCTGCTGCTTCAGCTAATACTGCTGCTCTTCGCTCCTTGAGATCTTCCTTTATCGCCTCTCTGCATAGCTTCGCAAGCTCGGACGTGAGTTGGTGATTGCCTGCAGCTCGTGCGGCTCCACGTTGGCGTATCAGCTCGAGAGTTTCCGGAGACAGACGTCCCTTGGTGACTTTCAAACTCTCTGCCTTCCTGCCACAATCGTGAAGATGTTCAACGAGCCGATGGTATTCCTCGTCGATGTTCTCGACGAAAGGATTTTCCCACAAACTGACGACTCTCTCAACACGCATCGAGAAGTGGAATCTTGCGCGGAGGAGACGATGGTCCGATCCCGTGTAGAACTTCGGAACAACAGCGACGTCGGTCAGGCAAAACCTTCGATTGAAGATGATGTGGTCTATCTCGTTATGGAACTGTCCATCAGGTGACTCCCAAGTCCAACGAAGGTGAGAGGGCTTCTTGGAACTGTGAGTTACCATGGATGGTGTTGGTCGACATGATAAACTCCGACAGTCTCTCACCCTGCTCATTCCATTCCATTCCGTGAGTACCGATGTGAAGTTCTTCAGCCGTTCTTCTTGGGCCAATCTTAGGCGTTGAAGTCGCCGACGATGACCTTGAAGAAGGTATGATCTTCCTTGTAGAACTTCTCCAATTCCATATAAAATGCTTCGTGTTCCTCCTCGTCGTAGCTCGATGTTGGTGCGTAGGCGACGAAGATTGTCAAAGCAGGAGTTGAACCACATCTTCTCAATCTCAAACGTCCGATTCGGGTCGTAAGGCTTTCGTACGAATCGATGTTTATGGCCAAGTGCGTGTTGACGAGGACACCCACACCGCCAACGCCTCTGCTGTCGCATGTTCCAAGGAACAGTTCTTCTCCAGTATCGAAAACGGCGTGTAGCGGGCGGTGCCTTCTCGTCTCGGTCAGTCCGATGACGTCGTACTTGATCTTCCTGGCCTGCATCATCAGATCTTCGATGTGAGCTTCGGATGCAAGCGTTCGTGCGTTGAAAGTACAGATCGCCATCTTAGTCCTTCTTCGTTTAGGCAGCCTATCCGGGCTGAGATTCTAGCCTCCTCTCCCGAGCGGTCCTACCCAACGCTGCCGTATTGGGGGCTCCCTCAGGTTCAGGGGAATGAGGCCCATCCATATTGCTGTTTTCGGCATATTGAAGGCACACGAGTAGCTTGCCAGGCTCTGTCGTGCGGGCTAGGATAGACCTCCAGGTAGTTAGCCACGCTATCCTGGAGCGGAACAAGGGGCTTATTTTTTGGAGGCGGCCCGAATCGCCTCCCATGTACTTCCCAGTCACTTGAATGCAAGCTTTTGGCTGTGCCGACATGCAGGATACCAACCGCACACACACAGAGCGCACCACACACGCAAGCATGCATGGATGCGCCTGAGTGGAGACAGCTGGTATGAATCAACACAGCACTACAGAAACAGGGAGTCCATCCCCTGAATCCACCTGCGTCTCAGGGCAAGTACATGGTGGCTTTTGGTCCGCGATTTACCCCCTATCCGCCACCTGGGGTCGCGCCACGTAGCCTCGCCACCAACCGGCTCGAGATCTTTCAGTGAGAGAGGACCCTCAGTGAAAGAGATCCGTGGAAAATTGTTCGAATAATTTTTATGGAAAAAAAATCCGAAGCATTTGGACTGACTAATTAGCTGAATTCGATCTGTCGTCAAATATATATGTATGTATATTTATATTGCTGATGAACTGCACTTTTGAAAAGTGAAAAGAGACAATGGTTTGTTACTCAGTTTGTTTCTTTCCTTGGTTCATCCCGTATTACAATGATGACTGACTCATCGGAACAGTGAATGTCTCTATCGGATTTACCTTTTAACCGTTGTTCTCTCAGAATCAGTTCGAGCAGTGTTCCTTTCTCATAGTATTCAGAGACGAGAACGATTTTCGAGCTGGATGGCGCAAGCACAGAGAGGCAGCGGGAAAGGTGGGGATGCCTTACCTGAATGTTTTGAAGAGGCTCATACTCAAAAAAAGATCCAATAAAGGCTGTATAAAACAACCTTGATGGTAATGTCTAGCTCTCTCGGCAGGAATTTGTCTGCTATAGCAGGCGGCAGGGCTTTCTTGTTAATGATTTTTCACTGCTACTGTACTACGATAACTAAACGATAGAGTAATGAGGGTAATGACGACCGGCGAAATTTCTGCAACTTACAATTGCGAAAAGGTACGGTAAACAACAGAGTGGCTTGTGACAGCTATCGGATTCTCAGTAAGTGGAGCACAGAGAACTTCCCGTAATCTGAACAACTGGGAATGAAAATCTACTGCAAAATGAAGCAGTGCAGATGTTGTGCTGACTGTGGAAGCAACTGCTCCGTGGACGGTGACACGCTTGCCGGAATGCTCACAGCCATGGTCGTTGATGTATAGCAAATGAACCTCAATCTGCCTTAATTTGCTAACATTGATAAGAACTTCTAAAAAACAAGTAATTATACAGGCAAAAAATCGCCTGACAGATAAGGAATGCGAACAGTGGTTGAAGGTAGCCAATGCAATTCGCGAGTGCCGAGTATCTTTCGCTTACGAAAACCATGCATATTCCTTTTGAATGGATATGCTTTACATTCCACTCGGAACAGATCCAAGGGAAGACCACGCATCTTCAACTGCAGTCCTGCACCTTTACGGCAGATGGGCGCTCTCCTGTAGCGAGCCGACATCGGCACTCAACCTTCACAGATGTTCGCAACGCTCGGCCCACAGTTCGAATCCTCTACACTTTTCCTACTCATCACACAAGAGATCAGTAAGTCAAGGACTATACTTAAAACGTTTGCGCATGTGGTAGATTCCCTTGTGTCGGAGTCAAGGGATATTTTGTTCAAGGGGTTTAAATATCGAGCTTTAAGCCTTCTTCTTCGTCGAAACATATGTTTTCCAGCTGATGAGAGAGCAACGGAAGACAGAAAATCGGTAGGGGACAGATATGTCGAATAGGGGTGGTAGTTGCGGAACAGCCAACATCGAGATCGTCTGACGTGTAACCGAAGACACGTGCGTTTTTTCTCTTCCGTCCTTTTTATTGTCCTTTTCCGCTGCTTCTCGCGAGTTTTTTATGCATCCATGTTGAGCACTGGCTAGGCCGTGTTGTTGATCCAGCAGGCAGAACGATTCAGTGAACAACGCCAGTTCACAGTTTTAAAATACCGCGAACCTTTTCCACATGTATCGTGGGCGGAGTTTTGAACCCTTAGTTTCGCCGACTCTGAGCGACTGCTGCTTCTGTGTATGGTTGACACATAGTAAGTCCACTTATTGTCGTCAATTACCACATGCCGTAGCCAGTCGTCGTTATTGTACAACGAGAGATGAACGATGTAGATAAACAAATACAGGTAACAAAACGAAAATTTACTACAACACAATGAACTTATATAGATGGCTGGGACAGCTCCAGACGAATAATGGGGGAAGGGAGTCTCATTCTATGCTCCTCCTCGAGCTCGTGCCCATCGTCGGAAAATATGTCTTGATCATAAGAGGTTGACCCACGATACGACCTGCATCACAGTGGCATGTGACCAAAGTTTTGGCAACGGCGCTGTTGACCAGCGACCACTGTGACATCCGAGAATTTCCGAGACAGGTTAGAAATCACTACTCTAGTCCGCACGATACCCGTGGTGAAACACACCTTCGTTACCTAGGACTGACGGCAGCTCTCGCGATAAACTGATACCGTTGAAATTGGGAAGTAGAGGTGACAAGTAGTGCGTAGGCGAGAAAAACATGTGTACTTTCACAGCACCCGCAAAACGAGACTCTGCTTCAAATTTCCCATTATATTCGGGAGCATGCTAACACAGAGATCGATCTGGTAAAGTTAAACACTGAATTCATAGAAACGACAATCGATAGACATTCTGCTTCAATAGCGGCGCAAAAGTGCAATTAGCCGGCGTAACAGTGCAATTAGAGAAGTAAAACAAAGGATAATAATGACAGTCTCATTTCTAATGCACACCTACACCTTCCGGGTACCGGCGGTAGGGGTGCTTGAGAAGCAGAGGTATTTTTAGGCGGGTTCGACGAATTGACAAGCCTTGATAGCGGAAGCGTAGAAGCGTCTACAGTTGTCTACTCAGACCCTATTCTAAATTCCCCACTACCCATCTTTCTTTTTCATAAACATCTGCCGTGATTTTTGTCTTCAAGACTACTTGCAATGAGCACCCCAAAACAGCGGACGTGTTGCGGTACGCGAAGGTGGGCTCTGCTATGCTACGTGACCGTGAAACATGTACCGACCCTAGGGGCATGCTCCGCCTCCGGTCCCGCCTCCAGCCGGGACTACTTAAGCGAGCCGCCTCTGCCAGTCGGCGCACTTCGCTCCCTCCGGGAGGAGCGTTGTGCCGGGCAACGCGAGGAAGCTGGACGGCTCGGAGTGCCACTGGCACTCGGCAGTATGGTCGGGCATGCTGTTCCGTGCGGTTCGGCACTGGTACGTCAACGTCCGCTATACCCGAAAGTCGATGTTGTTGCCGCCAATACACGCCCATAAACGTGAGTATATTAGATGTGTAGTTGTTGTGTAGGGGTTTAGTATAGGGGCGCCAGGGCTGGGGCCCGACTAAGGCGCAGTTATTAATTGTGTGCTGTCATTATTGCAGGGTTGTAGCCGGGGCAAGGGAGCCCTCGGCCCCTGAGCTGGGAAAGCCTGGACCCGACGGTGGGCCTTGCCCCCGCGGGTTGTACTCTTCAAACCCCCTTCCTGGGTTAGGAACCCGTGATGCCCCGGGGAGCGGAGGCCATGCTGGGAGGGAAACCAGCGTGGTCCCCGGGAAGGACCCGTAGGATGACGTGTGCCTGGGAAAGGCCGCGAGGGCCCCGAACCACTTCGACGCGTCGTGTTTGGAGGGTTAGGAAGGCGTCGCTCCTTAACCACGATAGGATGCAACTACAACCCTACCTTTGAGCAATCCTTTACTGCCACTAGTACTATTCACGATGTAATTCAACGGCAACACAAGAAGGCCCTTTCAGTGCTGATCTGAATCGACAACGCATCACTGCGAGCGAAGAAAAAATGGTGCCTCTTGGGCATCAAGAGAAAAAATATAACTTAAGTGAGTTCGGAGAACAGCGAACTAGAACAACAATAATACCATACGCATAAAAATAAGCTCCTATCAGCAAAACACAAAACCATGAGTGTGGGAAACCACTCTGTATAATCTTTTTCGTTAGGATGATTCGAAGGCACTTCAACGATTAGCTGAGAGGTGGAAATCTCTTTCGTGAATAGAGTGATTGGGCCTGCAAGCGAACAGGTTGTACCGATAACGGGGCTCAAATTGGTGATACGAGTTCCAGAGGGTCATGAAATACATCAAGGGGTACCCCATACATCACTGCACCCCACCATTGCGTTGCTGCCTGCGTTTCGGTTACCCCCTATGCCTTCTTGTCTCGCTTCAAGGCACGGTGTCGGGAAGGGGTCTTTTATGTCTTACTTTGCCCAAATGCTGAAACCTACCTCCGCCCGTTTCGAGGAGGTTCATGTTTTCAGTGATTACGGGGTTTCCTATCACTATGTCATTCACTTTTGGTCCACTTTGCACCTATGACTCTACCTTGGAATACAATTGTTAAAATTCGGATGCCGCGAGGTGCACCGATAGGGGTAGCCTCAAGAGCCACGATGGACACACTGATGTCGACATAGCTAGCCCCTGCCTCCACTGATTCGTATTTGACTCGTGCGCAGCAAATACACTTGCAAACTTCCCGGACCAGAAGTCACTGTAACAACTCGTTGTTGTTGACCAACAACTTCCCCTCGCTAGGCCACTGATGCGAACCACCTCTTTCTCAATCACAAACTGTCTCAGCTGTTCATCACCAACGTAATCTTGTCCAGCAGATTCTCGTCGTGAGCCGAAGAAATCGTCACCACACTGCCTGAAACGATGTAATGGAGGTGCACAACAGAAATGGAATATTTAAGTTGTACACAGATGGGAAAATTGTGACAAACAAGAAACGCCGTCGAAACGTATGTTACCTAAGAAAAAAAGCTCAGTACTCGAACTGCATGGTGAAAGAAAGCTACGATTGAAATTTGTTACTTGCTTTCAAGCATGTGCTGAAGCGAAGAAAGAAGGTTGAACAGTGGTTTGCATGAAAGACTCAGAGCGATTCTAAGCCCTCCTGTATCTTCCACAGGGATTCATTGTAATCTTGGGAAGTTGTGTACTCGAAGTCCACTTCTAGTTTACTGGCAGAAAATTTATTACAGATAGCCAGGAACGGCTGAGTAATTAGTCGAAATTCGTCTCTCCCAGAACTCTTCGCCATCT